GATATGGAAATTGAAAAAATGATGGTAGATTTCTTGTGAGAAAGATGTGATGAGGGGAGGAAGGATCATTTAATTAGTTGGGAGATAGTGCCAGATCTAGGGATAAAAAGGGTCTTTTAATTGAAAAGTTGAAGGCAAGAAATATTGCTTTAGTGGGCAGAATGACTTTGGAGATTTCTCTTGGAACAAAATTCTCTATGACATTTGGTTATCAAAAGCAAATATGAATCACAAGTTAATGAATGAAATCCTAATAGGGTGGAAAGGGTAAAGTTTTGGTGCTCGTGGAAGTTTATATCCCAGGGAGTTAGGAGGTTTTTCCATAATCTTAAGTTAGTTGTGAGGAGAGAATTCGTTTTTGGGAAGATAGGTTGAAGAGTCTTCTTTTTCATCTTTGTTTCAGCATCTCTATTAATTGTCTAAATCTCATGGAGCATCCATTTTTGCTATGCTTTAGTCGTATAATCATTTGTACTCTTGGTATTTTAGTTTTCCTAGGAATCTACAAGGTCGAGACACTTGGAATTTGATGTCTTTTCCTTTCACACCAGCTTCAATGGTATGGGGGGCCTAGGTGCCCATTAATTTGCAAGGGGTTAGCATGTAATGTCGCACATGGTAAGATTAATATCAATGATTTGCTTCAAAAAAGAAACCTTATAATTGTCATTCCCCACAGGGGTGTGTGATGTGTAAAGGGGCTTTGGAAAGTATTGATCATTTATTTTTACAGTGCCCTCTATTGGAATGTCCTTGTGGAATAAGTTGTTTGGCTTGACAAGTATAAGTTGTGTGATTCCTAAATCATCCATATCCATGTTTATTGAAGATTTGAAAGGTCTGATAAAGTGGTGACTCTTTGGTATTGTGCTATCTTTACTGCATTTTGGGTCATTTGGAAGGAAAGAAATGCAAAAAGTTTTGAAGATCGGAGCGGAATGGTAGGAAGAATTATGGGATCAAATTTATTATTTAGTGTCTTTTTGGGCATTGTTAACCAAGGACTATAAAAGAATACCATTTTTTGCTATTCTAGTGGGATTGGAGAGTTTCATATGATTTATAGGCTTTTATGTCATTTTTCCTTTTTCCATTATTTTTTTTCTAATTCATGGTTGGATTCTTATCCAACTTTTTTGATGTACATTACATTTTTATTAATACAAAGTTTATGTTTCCTATCAAAAAAAATTGCCCGGAATTTGTTGCTTTAACTCCTGTTTGTATACTTTGTTTTTATTGCAGGTCGGTAGCATCCAGCCCACTCCAAAGAAGATTAGGTTTGAGGAAGAGTAGATCTTTGTAGGAATAGAGAGGTATGTTTTTTGCCACTGGGTGCACAGATATTTTCTTTAAAATATAAATAATGAGCTTTATTTGCATTTCCCTCACCATCGGTTAGGTTGGTTGTGGACACAAGAACAAAGAGATGCACTAGTAGCTGTATTATGTTCTGAAAAGTTAGGTTATATCTATCTCTGTTACGGAGTGTGATCTTTCAGCTGATTAATTGGTTGTTTCTTGGCTTACGGATCATAGAAGTCTGTTTTAGGCCTACAACCTTAAATTTTGGTTGTGCGAACAAACCACCTGTATTTTTTTATGAAATTGCTTTAGTGGGAAATGTTCCAAAGTTTTGGTCTCTTAATGTGGC